GCGTCCATAGGTCTGATGTTGGGACCCTGAAAGTTTAATATAATTCTATTGGAAGAAAGCATCCTTACAACTGTAGGTCACCGCAAGTGCCTGCGGCTGCGACCCCCGGGCGTCTCAGCGTCCTAACTGGCCATCTGGAAGGGCTCGGGCTGGAAGCCGAAGAGCCTCTGGCCGTAGGGCTCGCTCTCGCCCGGCAGCTTCGCGCCCGCGAAGGGGAGGTAGTGGTCGCGGCCGAAGTGCTCGCAGTGCAGACTGACCCAGTCCCGCTCCGAGCCGAAGCGCTCGGCCTCGGCCAGGATGCGGGTCAGAGCCATGATGTAACTCAGCGCCATCTGCAGGGTCTCGTACTTGGACAGTTTTTTATCCTGGCCCCACTGGGGCACCACCCTGCGCAGGCGGTCGAACGCGGTGTTGAGCCCCTGCATGCGGCGGCGCTCGCGCGCGTTGGCCGCCAGGCGCCTGCGCGCCGCGCTCTCCAGTCGCCCGGCGCCGGCGCACGAGCCCGCGCACTCCGCGCCTCCCGCGCACTGCGGCGCGGCGCGCGCTCCTGCCGGCGGGCCGCTGGGCTTGCAGGACTTCATGTCCGGCCTGAAGCAGCGAGGCGCCGAGGTCGCCCGCCCGCTCAGCACCCGCGTGGACTTGTCTGGCCAGCCGCTTCCCAGTGGCTCTTCTTAGCAAATAAGTCATAAACAGAGCGACTCACGTGCAGTCAAACAGTTTACAGGAGGGGAGTGTGGGACTCGGCCTTCTGTCCTGCTGGATAACTAGGTTGATGTCTCTTCACTTGCCCAAGTTTAGGGGAAAATTGAGACGCTCAAGAGACAGTCATTTTCTCAAGGTGAAGTTGAAAAAGAGAAAGCAAGCTTCCTGCAAGAGAGTTTGGCGTGGCTGGTTCGGGGAAGGCCTCTCAAGTCCTCTGGGAAAGCCCGAGGCTCCTTTCCAGGAAGATGAAATCGTCCCCGAAGCTCAGACAGGGAAAGAGCGCTTTTAGCGCAGTAGCCGTCGGAGAGTGCTGGATGAATCTTTTCACGGAGGAGAATTTATAGCAAAGGGCTGAAGGAGGGAACAGGTGGTGGCAGGTGGGCGGGCGTCCCTCGGCTTCTATCTCAGCACCTTCCTACCCTGGGAACTGCGGGGGGGAGGGGGCGACGCACAGCAAAATCCTGACATTACAGCCTTAGTCTGTTGAAGTTTCTCCAAAGCTATGTCCAGCACTAACTAACACACCATCTGGAGTGGCCTGGCTGTCCCTAAAAGAATAACAAGGTGGGGGTAGGGGGAAAAGCTTGGCCTATCTTTTCCCATATCAGCAGACAGCTTATATATCAAAAACCTAATGGAAGTTTTTTAATTATTAGAAATAATTCGTGTGAAGAGGTTGGTTTTGGATTATGGGACATACCAGAAGTTTAGTATAAGGAAGATGTAGCTTCGTCGAGAGGTGTGACAACTTTGCATAATGCTAAACTAATATAATGGTGTTTTCATTTTAGCTACTAAGTAAATTGGGACAAATTAGCAGGTTCTAATATTGTTGTAGATCTGGCTGTTTTCTGTGCAATAACATACAAAAATATATTAACATATATATATAACTTTATGTTATTCTAATTATGTAATTGGATTGCATGAATTTAGATACTCAGGCAAATTTATTCAGTATTTATTCTTCATTTCCCCTGACACAGGTTCATAAATGTTTGTGGGACATACACAAAGATGATAACTAATCACTGAGATTAGACATTTAGATCTAATAAAACTAATTATAATGCACATATGTGTGCAGAATAAAAACATCTAAGTAATTTGTGCAGTTTTTAAAACGAATTCCTGGTTGAGGATTTTAGCCCTACCTCATAAAGCTGAAAATACTTCATACTACTTGGTTTTTTCAGTGTGTCAACTGCCCTCAGGAACAATAAGGAAGCATGATTTCCATTATCGATAATAATGACCTGATTTATACAGAGAAACCGTTAATTTGATTCTCTTATCTCAACTTGTTTCTTGCTCTTAAGAGAAATCAAAGGACAAGGAAACCAGCTCCAAATAGATTCAATGCAGACTCATTTCTGGATTCTTCAGGAAGACCAAGTATATTCCTCCTCCTTGTGAAATATGACATGTCAGCATTATTCTCAAATATGTCTGTTTAACTAAGTTATCAACAAACCCTCACAAATCAGGAGTCTTTTAACCATGACTTGCTTCCCCACCAATGATTCAGACTGTAACCCCATTGTGACGGCTCTGACTCCAAGTCCTGTCTTCCCATAAATAATTGATTAATCCCCAGCTGAAGCAATGACAATGAAATGAAGTTGAATAACATGAAGACAATGGGAAGCAATTGAACATTAATGATCTCCAGCATGACAGATGTTGAATACAGACTTTTACATGGAGCCACTCAGGTTTGTTTCTCTGAGTTCTAATAGTCTTGGTCGGGAACAGCAGTCCTGTTACAGGAAAGACTGTTATTTAGTCATCAAAATGTCAATGGTTTTTGAGTTTTCATGAAAATATGCCCTATTAATGCTGAGGGGAGTGTTGGATGTGTTCATTTGTCTCATCTCTTTCCCCTAAAGAGCTCCCTTTGTGTTGCAATGTTTCTCTGCCAAACAGACTGTGCACTTGTTCTGGACACTTGTACAAAGTACTAATGAGATGTATGGTTTTGCAAGCCACATACCCAGGACTGATGAGAATATAGCTTATATACCAAAAGCATCAAAAGCATAACTTGATGAGGAAAAGGAAACAGTAACTACATGAAAAACACAGTTATATTAGAACTTAAAACTAGCAGATACCTATGACATGAAATCAATTCAAAAATAGAGAGTATTGCTGCAGTACATGCTCCTTAGAGGGCACATAGTAAGACAGTATTAGTCTATAAAGATGCTTCTGGCGAAAAGGGTTTCATTGTCAAGTAAGACTGGGAAACATCTGTTATTTCCCACTTGGAAAGTCATGAAGGAAAATTGACACAGTAAAGTTTCTGCGAAGTCTTGAATTAAAGAAACTTATCAACTCCAGCATTTCCTAGACCTTCTTGAATACAGAATCCCCTTTTCCTAACAAAGTCTATTAACAAAGTGCCCTTGGACGCTTTTTCAGACCTGCTATAGTACCTTTCATTTATTTTATAGAGAAGACTGAGATCCAGAGATTACACATTGCTCAAAGGCACTGAGCAATTTCTTGATAGCATTAAGATAATAAATCAAATCTCCTGCATCCTTTGAGAGGCTTTAAAATTATGAGATCGTTTAATACAAGCCCCTCATTTTAAGGGAGCAGCAGAGATCTACCAGTGACTTCCCAGTCAAACAAGTCACTTCTGTAGAATTAGAAGAAATTTTGTGCATAAAAGACAGTGTCAGACTTGCATGGTATTTCTATATTGACAGCATAATCCTATCAGTTGAATTGGCAATTACTGTATACTTGGTGGTCAGTCAAAAATCAAAACTAGCAGGTGGAGATACAGAGATGGCAGGAGTCAGGATAGGGCCAGGGAAGAAGGAGCTTACTACACATGTATCAGGAGTAGAAAAATAGGAAAAATACTCTTTACAGGTAAAAGATCAATGGTTTGAAATTATTACATAAAATGTGTACATAGAACAGGTTCAAGTGTAAACAATATTATCCAAAACCCTACTTAATTTTTTAAATGGAAGTTCTCAAAAGAATACACAATTAAGGGCCGGGCAAGGTGGCTCACGCCTATAATCCTAGCACTCTGGGAGGCCGAAGCAGTTGGATTGCCTGAGTTCAAGAGTTCAAGACCAACCTGAGCCAGAGCAAGACCTCATCTCTAAAAAAAAAAAAAAAAAAATAGAAAAAACTGAGGCAAGAGGATCACTTGGGTGATTCTGGAGGTTGCTGTGAGCTATGACAACATGGCTAAAAAAAATTCACAATTAAAAGATAGGAAGGAAAACACTTAGCAAAAAATATTCTGAAATTTACAGAAAAAATAAGGAACTGAAGACTGGGGTTTCCTTATGGAGAGTGTTGTAGTAAGAGGACCATGGGTCCCTAAATGACTAAGACAAAAGCCAGAAAAAGACAAAAGAACAATAAAATTGAAGTCCTCTTTTATTTTATTTATTTATTATTATTTTTAAGACAGAGTCTCACTCTGTTGCCCTGGGTACAGTGCTATGGCATCATCATCGCTCACCGCAACTTCAACTCTTGAACTCAAGATATCCTCTTGCCTTAGCCTCCTGAGTAGCTGGGACTATAGGTACTCATCATGATGGCTGGCTAGTTTTTTTATTTTTAGTAGAGATGGAGTTTCTTGCTTAGGCTGGTCTCAAACTCTTCTTTTTTTTTAAGACAGAGCCTCAAGCTGTCACCCTGGGTAGAATGCCGAGGCATCACAGCTCACAGCAACCTCCAACTCCTGGGCTCAAGCAATCCACCTGCCTCAGCCTCCCAGAGTGCTAGGATTACAGGCGTGAGCCACCACAACTGGCATACTTTTATTTTATTGAAGACCAAAAGTGCAAGGCATTGGGAGTTCCTGTTGCTTTATTATGTACTATGTAGTTACTAGGGGTAGAAAAACTCACAAAAGGGCTAGGTGTGGTGATGGCTCATGCCCAAAATCCCAACAAGGCTGAGGCAGGAGGATTGTTTGGGCTCACTAGCTCAAGAACAACCTGGTCAACATTAGCAAGACCCTGTGTCTATAAAAAAATTTGAAAATTTAGATGAGCAGGGTGGTGCATATCTATAATACTAGCTACTCAGGAGGCTACAGCAGGAGGATTATTTGAGACCCAGAGTTCAAGACTATAGTGAACTATGGTAGTATCACTAGACTCCAGCCTAGGCAACAGAGCACAGGGAGTGGGGGCAGAAGGAAGGCCCACGAAAGGATTTACGTGCTTAGAGAAAGGAAAAGAGAGGCCAAGTCTTGTACCTCTGCACCCTGCCTCTCAAAGGTCCAGGAAAACTCAGTCCAGGGCAGAAACTGAGAAGGGACTAATAAGGAACTCAGGAGAACTATAACAAGGAGACACCCCACAAGTGATCACTTAGCAGAAAGTACAGGCTTATGGAAGGGCCCCAGGTGACTCCCCAAGCCCAGTCACTTGACACTGCTTGAGAATTCCAGGTAGGCACTTGTAGTTACCAGCCACCAAGAGCCAAACTGACTTGTGTGGTTTGGACTCTGCCTTCGCTTTTCTTGCTAGTGGATCTTAAAATCCTGCAGGCATGGCTCGGCGCCTGTGGCTCAAGTGGCTAAGGCGCCAGCCACATCCACCTAAGGTGGCGGGTTCAAATCCAGCCAGGGCCCACCAAACAACAATGATGGCTGCAACCAAAAAATAGCCAGGTGTTATGGCGGGCGCCTTTGGTCCCAGCTACTTGGGAGGCGGAGGCAGGAGACTCGCTTGAGCCCAGGAGTTGGAGGTTGCTGTGAGCTTTGATGCCATGGCGCTCTACCCAGGGGGACAGCTTGAGGCTCTGTCTCAAAAAAAAAAAAATCCTGCAGGCATGGGGGCTTAAAATACATACATATATATATATATATATATATACACACACACATATATTTGGAATCAGTTTTTTTTTTGTTTTTTTGCAGTTTTTGGCTAGGGCTGGGTTTGACCCTACCACCTCTGGTATATGGGGCCAGCACCCTACTCCCTGAGCCACAGGTGCAGCCCTGGAATCAGTTTTGAATCCAGAATCTCTCATCAACTAGCTGAGCTGTGTGGTTTTACACAAATCACATCTCCTGTTTTCTCTGTCTGCAAGGTGGAATCATAGCACCTATGTCACAGGGCAGTAGTGAGCTGCAAAGGACTCCAGCAGGTCTCTGAGTCACCTTGTAAATGAAAGTCAATATTATTACATATTCTTAACAGTTCTTTGAATGATAATGAAAACTCAGCATCAGTTTATATGGTTTGAGAATTAAATGAATTTTAAACATTGTACACATAAATTTACA